GTCGCGCCGCGAGCGCCGGGCTGGCGCGCAGGTAGCACCTGCCGGGGTCCGCGCGCAGACCGGGCGCTTCCGGAGCCCCGCGGGGTGAGCGGGATGTGAGCGACCCAGCTGCGGGGTTGGGGCCCGCCGAGTGTGCGGGCCCGCCGGGGCGGGCGTGACAGGAGGAGACGAATGGGAGAAGAGATCCCCGGTGCTCGGGGCTTGGGACCTCACGGTCGGGAGAGGGCTTCGCGGTGCAGCTCTGGCGAGGATGAGCCGAGCGGATGGCTCCCCAACCGGCGCTGACCACCACCCCGAGACTGGGCCTTCCGGGGGCGGGGCCAGACCTCCACGAAAGGAGAGACTGGGCCCTGAAGAGAGAGGTTGGCAGTCACGGCTACGGCTGCCTTGCGAAGCAGTAGAGGAAGAACGAAGAGGTCAAGGGACCCCTGCGTGGGCAGTGTCGGGGGAGAGTGGAGGCACCTCCAGGGAGCATCATGGCTGGGAAGAGAGAAGGCTCTGGAAGGAAGGCAAGGCAGAGGAGCCCTAGTGGGAAAGGGGAGGGACCAGGGCCTAGGCGGAGCCAGGCCCTCCCCTCCAGGCTCCTGGGATGGGTGGAGAGCTGGCCTGGACAGGGACTGCCCACCTGCCCCTCGTGGGAGCAGCTGCCACTCCCTGTCTCTGGGGCTATCCTTCCTCCACCTCAGGAGCCAGCTGCTAGTCCCTCCCCCAAGAAGCCCCCCTGCTGTCTCCCCCGCCCTGCTGACACCTCTCCCAGGCAGCTGGACTCCTTCCTTGGGTGTGGATCCCGAGGACCCCCTCCAAATGCTGCCACTGCCTCCCCAGGGCCAGGTGCTAACGATGGGGTGGGGGAGCTGAGCCCTGCACCTGCTCTCTGAACTATGGCCCTGGGGGGACAGCCCAGGTGGGGCTGGCTGTGTGGCCTTAAGGTTGACTCCCATGTCCCCGTTATCCATTGCTGTGTGACAAAGCACCCCAAAATTCCATGACTTAACGCACCCATTTATTACTCTCTCCCCCAGTCCATGGATGGCCCTGGCTCTGCCAGGCAGCTCATCCTTGGGGTTTCTTTGCAGTCATGATCAGGTGGCAGCTGGGGCTGAAATCTTTGGAAGGCTCAATGGGGTTGCAAGTCCAGGATGGCTTCTTGGGCCCATGTCTGGCACCTCAGGTGGGTGGCCGGAACAGCCCAGGCTGGCTGGTCATCTCACTGCATGTGGCCCCACCGTGTGGCTGGCTTGGGCTTCCTCAGAGCATAGTGGTCTCAGAGTAGTGGGATTCTTCCATAGCAGCCAGCTCCCCCAGCACACAGTCACTAGGCAAGGCTTCTCATGACCCAGGCCCAGATGTCCAGCAGTGTCACTCAGGAAGTCTGGAAGGAGGAGGCCCAGAAGCATCCATCGAGCACTTCCACCATGCACCGCGGGTCCTCCCTGCTCAACCTCATGCTCCCAATATGGCTGCTGTGACCCAGGTATTGCATACAGACCCAGTGGCATCAGTAAAGGGGAGGGGGTGTCTCTTTTGTCAGGAAGAAACCGTTGCCCAGAAGCCCCCATTGTGAGCACCAGTGACCATTCACCTCCAAGGTTTGGGCCAGGAGGTAGGGTGCATCGCCTTCCCTGAGCACACACCATGGAGGGTGAAGCCCCCAACCCGAGGCTGGGCCTGTGAGGAGGAGGTGAGGTGGGCGTGGCGGGGCTATAGGAGAGGTGTCCACTGCCTCAGCCTCACAGCCCCAGAAGATTTGCTTTTCTTGCACACACACGTGCACACACGTGCACATATCCATTTTCCCTCTCCCCACAGGTGCACCTCAGGAGTTCTGGCTGATCAGTGTGAGTGTTCACTCCCTTCATGAGAGTGCGCACTTGGTGGCATGTTCACAAGTGCCTCGTGCTTGCATTTCCACCACGGGTAACATTCTGGTTTAATCGCTGCTTCCTTCCCCTCTGTCCTTTTGTGATGGTCCATTTATGTGTCAGCGGGGCTGGACCCCAGGTGCACAGACATCTGGTCCAGCATTACTTCTGGTGTGACTGTGAGGGCGATTCTGGGTGAGATTCTCAGCTGACACGGTGGACTGAGTAACCAGATGCCCTCCCCAGTGCGGGGTCTCACCCACTCCCTGGGGCCTGACCAGAACAAAAAGGCAGAGGAAGGGGGATTCGCCCTCTGCCGGATGGTCTGCCAGCTGGGACGTCGGTCTCCTGCCTCCAGACTCACTGAGGCTGGAGCCGCACCGTCGGCTCCCTAGGGCTCCAGCCGGCCGACTGCAGATCGTGACCCTTGGCCTCCGTTACCACTGCGTGAAAGTTCCTTATAATAGATTTATGTCTACAGAGAGATCTATATGTGTATCTGTTCTGTTTTATATAGAGAGATATATATAACATGCACGTGTAGATTCGTCCTGTTTGTCTGGAGACCTACTGCTGCTTCTTATCAAGGTCCCTGCGGTCCCACAACCCACCTCCAGGTTGATGAACCTGGTCATCCTGCAATTGGTCCTTCGTGGCGGAGGCCCTCCTCCAGCCACCATGGCCTGGTGCCCCCTTCTCCGGGAGCAGGGGGTCCCCTCGTCCCCCTGACGAGCTCCTTTCCGTTAGTCAGTGGCCCCATGCCCTCCTCTCCCTGGTCCACTCCCTCGTTTTGCTGGTGCACATCCCCCTCCTCCTGGAAACGCCTCGTGAAAGCCGATGAGTTGGGACCTTATACCTGTGTGGAAACGTCACCAGCCCCTCGCCCTGACTGCCATCTGACCGGTGGTTAATTCTGGTGTGAAAACCATTTTCCCACGATGAAGGTGCCCGCCGCTCCTGGTGTCACGGTCACCGCCGAGCTTTCCTGACCCTTTTTGGCACTTGTCTCTCCCTCGGCAGCAGTCAGGTCCCCAGATCCGTGGTGCCCTGTCTCTGGGTGGGTTTCTCGACCCCCGGCCAGGTGGCCTGTGACCATTTCCGTCTGGAAACATGTGCCCTTCAATTTGGGAAACATGCGTGTCACATCTTTATTATTATTTTCCTTGACCGCTTCTCTCTGGAGCTCCAGCTGGTGGATGTTGGATTGCGTGGATCTGGATGTAGGAGATTTTCTTTACTTTCCTCTTTTATTTGTGTCTCTTGGTCCTCCAGTTCTACTTGATGGGAGAGTTTCTCAATTTTATCTTCAGTCCATCCATTCTGTTCACGTTTCTGCCTTTGTGTTTTTAACCTTGTGTGTCCACGCTTCTCTCTCCCTCACGTGTCTTTGTTTCCTGGATGTGTCTTCACCTTCGAGGAGGGGGGTCACAGTTGTTTCCTGGTCCCCTCTCGCTGTCTCTGTTTCCTGTAATCCAGGGTTGGGAGGCGCTGTCTCTGTCTGGGGGTGGGTGTTGTTGACTGGGGGGCTGCCCTGCGAACCAGCCCCTTTGTGCACCCCCAGGTTTCAGTATCCGGGGGGTCTTTTCTCTGGGCCAGTTCGTATCTCCAGCGAAGGGCCCTCAGGCCTCTGGCCTGGGCCGCACAAACGGAGTGTCCGCAGGCCCTGCCCTGAGGGTTCAGGTTCTCCGGAGAAGCCGGGACCCGCAGGCGGCTGGGAGTATGCCTCTCGGCTTTCCTCTCTGTCCCTCCGCCGATTCCCACACCAGCATCCTGTCCCATCACTGTGGTTTCGAGGCACATCTTCATCAAAACTCCACCCATTTGCTTTTTTCTTCGTTTTTCAAATTTAACTTATTTATCATCGACCTTCATTTTTTCTTACAAATGTTAGAACACATGTGATAAAACCAGTGCAGGAATTTGGATTGGAACGGTGTTGGGTCTGCAGACTACCTGGGAGAGACTCAGTGTCTGCCGGGCTCCACGTGGGCTCACCCACATCTGCTTGTGTTCAGACTTCCTCCCTGGGAGCTGGGTGCCTCCTTTGCAGGCAGATCTCCGGGCCCTGCGTGTTTCGCTGCATTGTGAATCGTATCCTGCTTTCTATGTGAATTCTGCTGGGTTATCGCCAGGGTGAAGGAGCACTGTTGATTTTTAAACACTGAAATGTGAAATGTGTCGGACACGCAGAAGAGTATAAAAAATCTATTTGTGTAATGTACAGTTGAAAGGATAATAGGAAAAGAGCCACGCAGGAGCCAGGTCACGAAATAGCACCTCTCTGGCACCCTGAAAACTGCAGGGGGCTCTGCCCACACCAAAGTAACTCCTTCCAGATGTTGAGTACCATCTCCCGGCTTTTCTGAACCCTTTCTGCATTTGGTGTACGTCCCCGAGCTATATTCCCTTTTGTTTTGACGACCTGCTCAGCTGAAGTCTCCGGGAGAAGAGAAGCTGAGCAGAGCCTCTGGGTCCAGGTCTGGCCTCAGCCTCCCCGAGTGTTTCTAGGAGCAGTCCTGGGGCCATCAGTGGGCAGGGACACAGATGATCTAGGGACACTCAGACCCCCAGGGGCAGGGCATCTGGCAGGGCTTGGGGGCTGGGCTGCCCTGCATTTCTGCGTCTAAACCCACCAGGGCCTCTCCCAGTCCTCCAGCATAGGTCAGGTGTCAGTCAAAGCAGACAGTCCTTAGGGAGCCGCATCCTCGCTGCCCCAGAGCTGCCATCTCTTGTGTCACACTGTCTGGTCTGGATGGCTGACACTCACAGGGACACAGCTGTGAGGCAGACATCTCCCTTCGCCACCCCCTGGGACTCACCTCCCCTGGCTCCTGTGTTAGACACTGGGGCTCCATGTGCCTGGCCTTGCTCTTTCTTGGTTTACACTCTCATTTGAACGGAGCACATCTTCCAATAGCTTCTTGAGAGAGTGCGTGGAAGATACATTTTAACACCTTGCCTGTCTGAGAGTCTTTATTCCACTGT